GACGCTCTTTGGCTTGTCCCCAAGCCGGAAAAAAAGCGGCGGACATGTTTATTTAAATCCCGCGGGGGATATTTAAATCCCCCGCGGATTTCCCTATTCTGACTTACCTGCTTTGCATGACTTTTCCGGAGAAGGGGCCAGTCTAGACGTAGCCTAAGAGAAATTGTTACAAAACATAATTCCTCACCCTAGTCCTTATTTCAGGTAAAATTCTTCACAAGCCAGAACGGATCTTTTTCTCTGACTTAGGCTCAGTAATGTTCCTCCACCCCTCTCCTCATAGTTCTCTCTTGTTTTTCCAGGTGTTCTTGTATATGCTCTTAGGGTGGGGAGGCAGTTTCAAAAGCCAGCTGAAGACCATCACTCTTTGCTTCCCATCCCTTAAATAGAATTTGCCCAGGGTGGGAATCCTTTGTTCAATTCTTCCCCCACCTCCTCTTCCCCTGCTCTGGAAAAATACCAAATTTAAGATGGATTCTAGCACCAAGTGACATGGTCACATGATCATTGTTTTGAGAACTAAGCTAATAAATTCATTAAAGAACCTCTAATCACAGAATCCTAGAACACTAGAACTGGAAGGGACCTCGAGAGATCAAATCCAGTCCCCTGCCCTCATGGCAGGACCAAGCACCATCTAGAAAGATCATCCCTGATAGCTGTCTATCCAACTTACTCTTAAATATCTCCACTTATGGTATATATGGTATATACACCTTTGGTATATATGGTTGTGACTATATTCTTCCACTATTTGATCTGAGGAAGTGAGTCTGGCCCACGAAAGCTCATCATCTAATAAACCATCTTGTTAGTCTTTAAAGTGCTACATTGTCCTGCATTTTGCTTCCACTTATGGAGATTCCACAACCTCCCTCCTCCCCTGCCCCAGGTAATTTATTCCTGGCCTATTAAGGTCTGGTTGAACCATCCTACTAACTCATTGGTCTGGGAGTGAGTGGTATGTGGAGATCTGGAGCTTATTGACCCCTAGGAAGGTACAGACTTTCTTGAGGATTCAGGATGTGAAATTTGTCCCCAGGTCTGGGAACAGCCTTTGGGAAACCAGGTAGCATAATCTAACACTATTAAGATGTACAATAAGCTTTAGAAGAGAATCCCTCCAATATTTACCTGCTCAGAACTCTGGTGCCATATAGATCAGATTGTTTCCCTAACTTAGGGTGAGCTGCTTAATTGAGGTCCCTTAATTGAAATGCTAAGAGCCTTTAACTTCCATTCCTCAGATAAATCTAGGGCATTCCCAAAGGAGTATTTTGAATAGTTCTTTTGTTTTCTATTGAGCCTTGTGGCACGAGACATCTTAAATTTACAATGCAAGTCAATAGTGCAAGTGTCATTAAACAAAGCGTTGGATTTATTAACATGTTGCACTCTATGTTACCTTAGAGGAGTGGCACTAAACACTCAGCAGTGAAAGGGGTAATTTATCTCAGAGAGCCTCAATAGGATTAAACGTACTGACGGCTCTGTTGTGCCTGGATGCCCCAGTAGGGGGATGCAGAGGTGGACCAGCTGAAGGACACTGAGACCTCTCAGAGGCATTACGCCCAACTCAGGACACAATAGTCTTGATTGTTCATTTCACTGCAGACCCTT